AGACTTGGGGCCAACAGAAGGGAGTCAGAGCACAGAAGAAAATAATAAAGCTGGGTGCCATGGCTGTACCTGGACCCTTGAGCTGTACCCACCAGGGTGCCTAAGAGGGCTTTTCCTTCTGTAGCCCGCTCCATGTTGGGACGCCACCTCACGCTCCCTGTCCTCGGGAGGGCACTCTCTCGCAAGGCCTTCTACCCTTGTCCTAAGGGAGACACCCCGAGAAACCATCTTCCCTTAAGGCCCCCTCTTACCTCACACGTAAAGCAGTGTAGCTTCTATATCTTAACCCCCACCCCACTCTAGAAAAGGTTCTTTCCTTCCTTTTTGAGTCTAAGAGCTCTCCTCCAGACAGCAGTGTCAGTAGCACACTTCCCCTACCCCACCTTGTGACAGCCAAAAAATGTTTCCAGAAATTGCCAAATGTCCTCATGGCCAAGGGGCAGGCGGGCTCAAAAATACTTTGCCACCTCCATTGAGAACTCCTGATCTAGAGAAAATAATTCTTGCTAAAAAACCAGCCTCCTCTCCCCATTCGCAGCCACTGAAGCTTCAAGTGATGTTGGGGTCCGATTTCAGTCACTGTTGCTCGTTGTACACACATTGTCTCATGTAATTGTCCCGATCTTACGCAGTGGGGATGCCATCCCTCTTTTGCCCCTCGAGGAGGTAACAGAGCTTACCCAGCTTCCTTGCCTCTGCCACGGCATTTGCTCTCTGTATGTCGCCTCTTTGCCTAGTGTTGTCTCTGTTTCTAGTTTATTTTACTTAGCACTGTCTCTGTCCCTAAGCACTGTCTCTGGAACATGGAGGTGACTCCATTCGTTTTTTCTTGATGAAGAAATGATCACAGTTAATAAGTGGCAGAGTTGAGGCTCACCAAGTGGCACAAGCCTCACTGACTGCTGAGCTCTATTGGGTCTCAAGCAGGGTGGGGGCCTTTACCTTTCCTCCGCCACAAGGAGTGAAGGAGGTAGGAAAGGGCGCCCACAGAGACAGGTGGGTGCCGGGCTACAGGAAGTTCAGGATGTGTCCATGCGATGTCCTGGGATTTCTCTGAGGGAGGAAGCAGGGTCACCTGACGAGAGTGAGGGGCCAGGTGGTCTGGGGGATGGTGAGGAGAGGGGAAAAGGCATTTGTGGGTAGCGTGACAGACCTGGTCCAGGCTGGTGGCCCCCAGCCCAGGGTGTGCCTGTCTGTGTGTTGGGTGGCTTGCTCCAGTGTTGCTCAGTGGCAGTGTGGAGAAAGTGGGCTAGGGTTCCCCACTGGGAGCAGCAGGAGGTTGGAAGCTTAGCACTGAGTGTTTTGACCAGAGAGGGGCTGGTGTGAAGAAGCTAAGTTGAGGGTCAGGAAGAGAGGACAGGCTGGAGGTGGGAGGCTGGGCAGCCGGAGTGACAAACAGGTGCTGGACAGTGGCGGGTTGGGTTAGGAGGATGGGTGGCATCCGTTAAGACTCCAGAAGCAGTGCCATTCTTTGTGACAAAGATGAGGTGGAGGTGTGATCCAGGCACTGGGGTGGTTGGGCAAATGTCATGGGTTCACTCAGCAGCACCTCATGAGTACTCCCTGGGTGCTGGCAGCGTCTGGGGGCTAAGTACCGAGCAAGACCTGGGCTGTTGTCAAGGTCCAGTGGGAAACAGTGAAACAAGCAATCAGGGGTGCTGAGAGCCACGCAGGGCTTGCAACTCACGTGGGGAAGAAGGGTTGGTCAGGAGGGCTTTAGGACCAGCCATGGCATTTCCAGAGTCCCTTGCAAAATGAAAATGCCAGGGTCATTTGTTCAAAGTTATTAAGAATTTCAAGACAGTAACAGCAGAGAATTAAACCAAACATGCAGCCTTTTTAGGCATGAGGCCCTGTGCAACTGCAGCGATCACGCATCCATGAAGCTGGCCCTAGAGGACTTCCTGGAAGAAATGACTTTTACCTGAGATGGGCTGGATGAGAAGGAGTCAGCCAGTGGAGAGGGTGTTTCCAGGCAGAGGGAACAGTCTGTGCAAAGGTCTGGCAGTGAATGAGGGGCTAGTACCTGAGGAATGGAGACGATCAGCCTGGCTGGAGTGGGGTGAGCTGAACCAGGTCCCAGAAGGGAGAGGGCAGGGTGATGGAAGGTTGTGGGTGGGGATGCAGGGTCCCTTAAAAGCAGCTTGGGCTGGAGAGGAGGGCAGTGAGAGGACCAGAAGTGGGGAGGGGGAGCTTTAGTGAGGAGGAAGGAGTAGAGACTTGGGGAGGCAGAGGGGCTGCCTCTGCCCCCGAGCCTGGAGAGCTTTGCCCAGAGAGGTCCTCGGGAGTGAGGTCCTAGGTGGGGACCAGGGTGGGGTGGGCCAAGGAAGGAGTAGTGGGTGTTGGGTCAGGGTAAGGAGGCCCAGATGGTGGGGACAAGGGCAGGGCAGGATGGCTGACAAGTATCTGACAAGGTCTGCACCTTGGGTGCTAGCTGAGGAAGAAGGGCTGGAGGCCACTGGGCTTAGCTGACCTCCACGAGGCCAGGGAGGCCCCAGTCCTAGCACTCTGCTCTGCTGATGGCTCTTCCAGGGCCTTCCTCATTTGACAGCTGGTCTGGGCCCCAGAAGGTGGGACCCTGGTGGGCATCACATCCCAGAGCTAGGTTCACACAAGGGTCTGGATGATATGTGTGCAAACAAGAACTGGTGGGATGCAAACTAAACTTGGGGTATCTGGGTTTGGGGGCTGTCAAACTCTATATCCCATTTCCCAGTTCAAACCAAAATTGGGGGGCTTCCAGGTGGCAGGCTTGGGAGGGGCCAGGATTCCTAGCCACAGGTGCATGTTGGGGCCTTGGGCCTCAGACCAGAAATTCCACTTTGTCTGCCAGCTGCCTGGGTGGGGCTGTCCCTCCTTCTGGGACCAGCACCAAACTGTAGACTGCACTCAGCAGGTGGGGCTGGGCAGGTAGAGCTGAGTCTGGGCCTCAGGCCTGTGGTGGGAGAGGAAGAGACAGGCAAGGGTTTGAAGTTGGTGGGGGGTGCGAGGCACTAGAGGGAGGCAGTGGTGAGATTATCTGGGGGATGGGTCTCTGTGCTGCCAGGAAGACCCTCCTCAAAGAGAAGGTTTTTATGAAGAGAAGTGACCCTTGGCCCCAGCAGGACACGGAGGTACTCATTTACTGAGCATTAGTGATGCAGCTCCCGGTCTAGGCATCCTATTGAAGCCACTCAAAAAGCCCTGGGAGAGAAGCGTTAGTGAGTTCATTTTGCAGAGGAGAAACTTTAGGCTCAGAGAAGCTATAAGACTTACCAGGGTCACATAGCTAGTAACTGGCAAAGCCGAGGTTCCACCTGTCTGAGGTACTCTGAAGCCTGAGTTCTGCCCCCCACTGCCGGCAGCCACCTCCTTTCCACAAGCCACTTCCCTCAGATTAAGCAGCCCTAGCAAAGGCCCAGGAGGTGTCCTAGCGGCTGCCAGGGCTGGCAAGAGTGGACCAGCCTTTTGTTTCCTTCAGACACCTGTGACCCTCAAGGATCACATCCCCTGAGGGTCACCCAGAAGTTAAAAAACAACTTAATTTACAGGTGTTTTATGAACAGGAAAGGCAGGAAAATGGGTAAAGTCACACGATTTTATGATAAAACAGTCTATAAACCTTTGTCATCTCCCTTTCCTCTGAGGTTCTCAGCATAAGCCTGGCACTGAGGAGTTTCATAAATAATTAACAAGGGGACATGGGGAAGGGAGCAGAAACTGCTGCAGCAGCTGCTGTGCCAGGCGGGGGTACTCCCCAGCCATTCTCACAGGCCCACAGGGACCTGGGCAGGCCAGTGTTATCGTCCCCATTTTGCAGAAGCAGAAATCAAGGCCCTGATGTGTTACGTGGCTCCCCCAAGTGCAGAGAGGGGCTGGCATTGCTCCCATCCCTCCTTGCCTGAAGCCCTCTCCTTGTGTTGGACTAAAGGTCCTCCCTCACACCACCTTTGACTGAGAGGCTTAGGGCTGTGGGGGAGCAGGGAAGCAGGGAGCGAAGGCTTCCAGAGGCCATCCTGGCTCAGCCTGACACATCGTGCTGAGGCCAGAGATGCATCACACACAAGTTCTGTCCTTGAGGTGCCCACAGTCTGGGTACAGAGCTGAGCCTGTGCTGATATCAGTTCAGGGTGGCCTGTGCCCGAGGAGGATCCCCGGATCCCAGCAGCCTTGGAGGCATTTGAGGGCCTTGACGGATGAGTCAGGAGATGTGAAGGTGGGGGAAGGGTGTTTCAAGCTGAGGGAACAGCATGGGCCAAGGCCTGGAGGAGGAGAGAGATCCCAGCAGCCTTGGAGGCATTTGAGGGCCTTGACGGATGAGTCAGGAGATGTGGAGGTGGGGGAAGGGTGTTTCAAGCTGAGGGAACAGCATGGGCCAAGGCCTGGAGGAGGAGAGTGTGGGATTTTCTTGGGGAAAGTCTGTGCGTTCAATGGCCAGGGTACAATCTTGAGTGTGACCAGATCATGGGATGGGATGGGGGGAGCAGAAGTAGCAAGAGGGCTGGGGAGGTGGCACCTCGGGCCAGGCATTATCTCATGGGGTGCAGAAGCCCTAGCAGGGTTTAACCAGGTGGTGGGGTGGGAAGAGGCAGCAAGTGGTCAGTGAGGAGGTCTGGGCACTGGGCCTGGGGTAAGCTTGGGGACAGAAAGGACCACACAGGCAGGAGCTGGGCTCACCCACTGGAGGTGGGGGCAGAAGGCCAAAGTCAGGCTGTGTGCATGGAAGGGGAGCCACAGGCCAACACGCCTGAGCCCTTTATCAGTCCCACGGCAGCCTTGCTGCTGCCACTTCTACCGAACAGAGAAGGAACTGAGGCTCAGATTTGGAAGGCCACTTAGGGCCACTAAGCAGGAAGAAGAGGAGCTGGGAACAGGATCCAAGGTCTTTTGAGAAGTAATGAAAGGGTCAGACCTTGGACAAGGCCTTCCCTATCCCCGGACCTCCATCTCCCGTGTGTGGAGTGGAGCAGGGATGGTGGGGGATCTCCAGCAGGCCTCTCAACATTCCTTCTCTCTGGCAGAACCAAGGAGAGCATGTACCACTCGCTGACCTATGCCACCATCCTCGAGATGCAGGCCATGATGACCTTTGACCCTCAGGACATCCTGCTTGCCGGCAACATGATGAAGGAGGCTCAGTCGCTGTGTCAGAGGTGGGGGCCATCGGGGGTGGCAGGTATTAGGGGTTGTGAGGCTCACCCTTCTGTCATCCTGGCCTGTCCCAGAGCCTGAAATGCCACTGTTAGTGGTGCTTCTTCTGGCTAAGTGGTTGTGTCCCCAAGTGCTAAGAACTATTCTTGCCAGCACTGCTTTAGGATCCTTGTTGTCTGAGCCAGTCACTGAGCAGCTTCCAGGGAGCAGTGCTGATTGGGAGAAAATTAATTCTGGCTCTGTCACTTAATAACTCTTTGACCTTGGGGAAATCCCTCTTTGGACTCGACTTTCCTCATCTGTAAAATGGATGTGATAAAATGTACATCATAGGGTTGTCCTGGGGACTGCATGAAGACACCAGTTACAGGACCTGTTGCATACTTGGTGTCTGGTACACTTTCGCTGCTTGAATGAATGAACAGACCCTGACTGTTCTTGCACCAGTGAGTGGAGTCATCATTCATTGGGCACACACTCATGCCTGCTCTGGCCCGGGCAATGGTGCCCAGGAAATCATCAGAGCTGGGCTGCTTGGATGCCCACATTGTCTGGTAGGGGAGACAGGCACAGTGACATTCTGGCAAGCTCCAGGGTATGGGGGTCCAGCCAGGGGAGCAGGAAAGGCTTCTTGGAGGAGGTGACACCTGATGGGGACTAGGAGCTGGCCAGGGCAGAGAGAAGAAGGGAGGGGGCACCAAGCAGAGGCAGCAACAGGTGCAAAGGTGTCAGGAAGCCCTGGATTTGGGAATGTGCTGGAACTCAGGGTGTCTGGGGAATCATGTGGGAGGAGCCTACATGCCTCGGAAGCTGCACCAAGAGCCCAGGCTGCATCCTGAGGGTGGTGCAGAGTCGTAAGGTTCAGAACTGGGGAGAGCCTTTTAGAAAAAACCCCTAGCAGACAGGTGAAGAGTGAACAGGCACCAAAACCTGGTGGGCAGGAGTGGTAGACCAGGCGGGGCATGAAGAGGCCTAAATTAAGGAGAGGAGACCAAAGGCAGGACAAGTTGGGAGCTGCCAAGAACAGTGACAGCCAGACCGGGGACAGGTTGGCCATGGAACTGCTTTATATGCTCAGCCCCATGACTGATACCTGTGTTAACTGTCCCTTTTACCAAGGAGGACACTAAGGCTCAGAAAGGCAAAGTGACTTTTTTGCCAGAGTTTCAAACCTTCTCTAATTCCAAAGCCTGTGTTTTTTCTGCTAGTGCTGCCTCTCTAGGAATTTTCTAGACTGTAGCAGACAGAGGCAGAGACAAGCGTGACCTGGACTTGGGCCTCTCTCTCACCCTCACCGAATGACCTGAGGCCGCTTTTCCTTCCTCAGGCACCGGAGGAAGTCTTCCGTAACAGATTCCTTCAGCAACCTGGTGCACCGGCCCACTATGGACCAGTTCACAGAAGGTGTGGCATCTGGGCTGTCCTCTCAACCCTGCCAAGCCTGGGCAGCCCAGCTCCAGGCCCAGGATGGGGAGGGAGGGCAGTTATCCTCCCAGTCATCACCGAGGGGGACAGGCACTAGCCTCAATGCTGGGACACAGAAGGGTCAGACTGGGCCTTTTGAGGAGTGGCTCTTTGGTGAGGGTGTCGGGGCAGATGAGAGCCACTTACCTGACAGCATGACTGGCTGAGAACCTGGAAGTAGAGGGAAGGAAAAGCTGCCACAAGTCCATGGGCTTTGTGCGTCAGGTGGAGGGGTACTTAGAATTGTGTGTGCACTTAGGTTTCCTGATTTAACTATCTTAGTGGTCTTATGTGCCCCAGAGGGGAATATGGCTTTAGAAGATGACACTCTGGGGCCGGCCCGGTGGCGCACTGCTACGGTGTGCCGCTTGGGAGCGCGGCGGCGCTCCTGCCGAGGGTTTGGATCCCACATACAGACCTGTTCCCACTCACTGGCTGAACGAGGTGCGGCTGCGACACCGAGGGTTGCGATCCCGTTGCCGGTCCCGGTCTGGTCCGGGCGCGACACTGAGGGTTGCGATCCGTTGCCGGTCACGAAAAAAGACAAAAAAGGGAAAAAAAAAAAAAAGATGACACTCTGGGATAAGACAGCTGACAGCAGGAGAAGAGACAGTCAGGGCTGCCGTGACCTATCTGGCTGGCATCTTGTGCCATGAGCACACATGGCAGTCCTGGAGGTGACGGTAGCCAGCCGTGAGCAGTTTGGGGCTCTTTCGCACAGGTGCAAATGGTCTTACCTGCCTTGAGAGGCCTGGAAGTTTCTGGTAGCAAACAGTACACCTGACAGGGCTGTGTGCATAGCACCTACAGTGAAGCTTGGGAGCAAGAGGACAAAGCTGTGCTGACATTCTGGGTGGTGGGCAGGGGACCAGGCAGAAGATGAGGAAGGTGAGCTGTGAGCTAATTTGGGGCAGTGGCAAGTGCTCTGAGCTAATTGGGGAGGTTGAGGGCAGGTGCTGATACAGGCTCTCTTTGCTTTGGGGGATGTAGAGCTCCAGAAGGCCACAGGGCTTGGGTTTTCTCCCCACAGAGGAAATCCACGCCGAGGTCTGCTACGCAGAGTGTCTGCTGCAGAGAGCAGCCCTGACCTTCTTGCAGGTAGGAACCCCTGCTTGTATGAGGAGGCTGGGAATTGCAGAAGATCAGTCACCCTGTCCAAACCAGAAGGGTCTGTAGCAACCCTGACCCATTCCCTGGTTGTCTGGATGAGGATAGAGGCTCAGAGACCCCCACACTCCTGACCCTGGCCAGGCTTGATGCAGAAGTGCTGGGCTTCACCTTCTCACATGCGAGCCCATGTGCTCCCACCCATTACCAGGGTGCCACTTCCACCTGTGACTGCTCTTTTTCTGTTAAGGGTCATACGGGGGTGACAGACATTGTCACAAAGCCTGCTTTACACCTGATTCATTCAACACTTATAGCACCTACAGCGTACCAGGCTTTTTTGCATATAGTACAAGTATGTAGTTTTTACATACCTTACACACATTGGTTTGTTTTTGCATATGCTTACATTTATTATTTAATGTTCATCTTAGAGGCCTGTGGGGAGGAGACTTCTAGGAGAGGGGTCACTTTCCCAAGATCACATGATTAGCAAGTGGCAAGCTGGGATTTGAACCTAGGTCTGGCTGAGTCAGAGCCAAGATCTCCACACCACACAGTGGGAATTATGAGAACTGTCACTGCATGATTTGACCAGAAGGCCTGGGTTATAACATATTTATAACATATCATCATGTCAACATATGTATTTGGGTGAGAGGGACATGCACATTTTAGTGTTGGGGTGCTGTTTTTTATTCTTAGTTCTTTTTCTCTTTTTGGACCTAAGGCAATTATAACTGGATTAATGCGAATCTTTGGTTTGGGACTCACTGTAATAACTGTACCATGAATGGCATTTTATTTTGTTTGTTTATCATGTTATTGCAAATAATAAACACCCACAGCCCCCCCCCCCATCCAACTGGGGCGCAGAACACTGAGGCAACTCCCCTTACTCTCTGGGCTCCTCCCTGCCCTGCCCCTGCCTCCCTCCACAGGGGGAAACCACTACCTAGAGTTTTGTTTTTATCATCCCCCACAATGTGTGTGTGTGTGTATTTTTTTTTCTTTTTCTTTTTGGTGGCTGGTGGGTACAGGGATCAAACCCTGAACCTTGGTGTTTTCGGGACTACACGGTAACCATCTGAGCTAACCAGCCAGTCACTCTACCCCCATTTAAAAAAAAAGTAGTTTTATTAGCTTCCTATTCATGTAGGAATAGCATATTGTTATGTTTTAGTTGGTTTTGAGCTTCATAGGCCTCAGGCTGTGTGGCACTTGCTTTCTTCACCCAAACTAATGTGTAATGTTCCCTCATGTGGGCATACCACAGTTTGTTTCTCCTTCCTCCTGCTGATGGGCATTTGGGTTGCTAATGGTTTTTGGCTAGTATGAGCAATGGAGCTGTGAACATTCTTGAAGGTGACTTCTGCAGCCCACGTCCATCCATTTCCCTTGTGTGTATACCTAGGACTGGGGCTGCCAAGCAGGCTACAGGTATTGGTGCTTTACATCACAAGTGTAATAAACACCTGTTTGTTGTAAAAACCACAGACAATCCAAAGATGAGCATCCCTCCCCTTTCTCACAGTCCCTCCACCTAGAGGGAGGCACTGTCAACCATTGGAAGTGGCCCTCCAGGCCTTTATCCACACACACAGTATGTGTACATGTGAGGCTGGTAAAGGGGCAGGTGGTTGAGCCTGGGGCATTGTGGAGGTTTTTTGTTTGGCCAAGGGGTAGGGAGGCCTGGTTTGGCTGACCTCTGACCCCACCCCCCCAGGGGCCCACATAGATCTGGGCATAGGCAGGGGCTGTCCCTATAAGGCCTGCTCTCAGCATCTCTCCCTCCTGCAGGATGAGAACATGGTGAGCTTCATCAAGGGCGGCATCAAAGTCCGAAACAGCTACCAGACCTACAAGTGAGTGGGGCTAGTCAGCTGCAAGCAAGGCCTGGAGGCCACAGCATCTAGTACTCTGTCCTCCTCTGGCTGCTTTGTGGGAAATAGAGAGTACTGGCTGGAGGGCAGAAACCTGGTGACTTAAGGCAGATTCCAGCACCCTCAGGACCTCAGATTTCTGGAATTCCCCTGGTTTTTCTGGCTGTATCTGTTCATTTTGTCCCCTGAGTGCCTACTCTGTGCCTGACCCTCTGCTAGGGGAAAATAAGACCCAGATTCTGCAGACATAGGAACACAGAGACACAGGAACAGTTGTTTTGGGAACAGCAGCATAACTCTTACACATCCCTTAAGGCCCAGTCCAAATGCCACTTGGCCCCTCTAGTACATGGGGATGGTGTATGTACACACACACACACACACACTCACACACACACACACACACACAGAGACTCACTCACTCACTCCCTGAGCGCCAGAATCATTTCCATGCTACCTCCGGGTCCCTGATATTCAGCGCTGCACCAGGCACAGGCTATTTATGGATGAAAGAATGAAGATTCAGTCCAGTGCACTTTTACCCAGTATGGCCCCACAATCTCTTATCTGTGAGTACAATTCCAAAATCAGAGCTCTGAAAACCCAGTTCCACACCACCACCCCAAGTTTTGCATTAAAACTTATTTTCCATTAAAAGTTGATTTGAAGGGGCCGGCCCGTGGCTCACTCGGGAGAGTGCGGTGCTGATAACACCAAGGCCCCGGGTTCGGATCCCATATAGG